GAGAGAAGAGAAAGAGAGAGAGAAGAGAGAGAGAGAAGAGAGAAGAGAGAAGAGAGAAGAGAGAAGAGAGAAGAGAGAAGAGAGAGAGAAGAGGAGAGAAGAGAGGAAGAGAGAGAGAGAGAAGAGAGAGAGAGAGAGAGAGAGAGAGAGAGAGAGAGAGAGAGAGAGAGAGAGAGAGAGAGAGAGAGAGAGAGAGAGAGAGAGAGAGAGAGAGAGAAGAGGGCAGGAGAGAGTGAAAGAGAGAGAGAGAGAGGGAAGGAAAACATGAGAGAAGTGTAGAAGCTACGAGAGAGAGAGGGAGGATATGGAAGGGAAAAGGAGGAAGGAATGGAGGAGGAGATGGGGAAGGTAGGAGAGGAAAGAAGAAGAGAACATGCAGCGGAAAGGGAAGAGGGAAAAGAGCACGAAAGCATGAATGAGAATATTGGAGAAATGGAGGAATAACAATAACTCGAAGACCTGTCCGTAACTGTTCGTCTGAGAATAATTTTGATTTTGTTTCTGCTCTTGTTTTAATCTTCGGTAGTTAAACTCTGTTTAACATAGAATAAAGGGAATAGAATCAAGTACAAAAGAACACGAAAAAACAAACAAACAAACAAACAGAGAACTTCGGATCCATTCACTTTAAATATGTATTATCGATTGAGTCTTCCTTTTTTATTCTTTTTGTATCGACACTGGCATTCTGATAACGTCAACTGATGAACTGAAAAATGTCCCGTACTCTGAAAATCTGTGTTATAAATTTTAGGGATTCTGGGTCATTGTCAATCAGTTAAAGTTTAAATTGAATACTAATGGGTGTTTGGATAATTGAAATGGGGCGATAAAATCCCGTAGACTTTACCGAAACGATCGCTGCCATTTTACCTGTAATTATTGTAATATGTTGTTTTGCTTTTTCTTGGCAATATTGTCATTGCGATTATTATAATCTATGTTTTTCATATCATGATCAGTTGAAATTATTGTTCTCATCGTCAAAACTATTATCCATATTCTTATCATTACTATTATCAGTATCGTTATCATTATTATCATTACTACTGTTATTATTGCTGTTGCTGCCGCTATTATTATTATTAACATTATTATTATTATCATTCTTCTTATTATTATTATCATTATTATTATTATTTTATAATAATAATAATTATTATTATTATCATTATTATTATTATTATTATTATTATTATTATTATTATTATTATTATTATTGTTGTTGCTGTTGTTGTTGTTATTATTTTGTTATTATTATTATTATTATTATTATTATTATTATTATTATTATCATTATTATTATTATTATTATTTATTATTATTATTTTATCATTATTATTGCCATTATTATCATCATTATTATTATTGCCATTATTATCATTATTATCATTATAGTTATTTTCACTCTTATCATTATCATTACCGTCCTCATCAGTATCACTATAGTTTTTATCATTGTTATTATCATTATTATTGTTATCATTATTACTATTATCTTCATTACTGTTATTTTCTTCATTTTTGTTATTATGATTATTATTTTCATTACTATTATTTTCGTTATTATCGTTATTATTACCCTTCTTATTATTGCTGTTAACATTATCATAGCTGTTATTATGATTATAATTATTATTAACATTATTAACATTAATATTGATATTGTTGATATCATTAATAATATCCCTATCATCATCGTCATTCTTATCATTATAATTACCATTTTCCTTGTTTTAACATTATTATTATTATTGTTCTCTTTATCATTATCATCACAGTTATTGTTGCTGTCATTAATACTATTGTTATCATTATCAATATAATCTTATGGATATTATGATAATTATCATTATTATTAATATCATCATCATTATTATTAATATCATCATCATTATTATAATTATCATCATCATCATCATCATCATCATCATCATCATCATCATCATCATCATCATCATCATCATCATCATCATCATCATCATCATCATCATCATTATTACTACTACTACTACTATAATTATTATAATTGATAGTACCATTGTTATCATTGTTATAATTCTTACTGATGTCGATATTGTTGGTTGTTATAATTATGATTATTATTATTTTCATTATTATTATTATTATTATTATTATCGTCATTATTGTTATTGTTATTATTATTATTATTATTATTATTATTATTATTATTATTATTATTATTATTATTATTATTATTATTATTATTATTATTATTTTTTATTATTATTATTATCATTATTATCATTAT